CCCCAAAACCCCAAAACCCCAAAACCCCATTCTAAAAATGAGTCATTGATTTATTAAAATATAAGAAAATGAGCACAATTTCCGAACTCCAAATGCTAATTTCCCTTTTCACGCTTCAAGATGAGGAATCAGACACTTGAGTATACTACAAGATTTATTTAGGAATTATCCTGTTTATCTCTTGAGGGATTATGGCATTCACAATCTGGAGGACAGTGAAGTTTTACCTCCGTTTCAGATGTACAAAATAAGCTGATCCTGATCTTCTTGCTGGTGGTATGCGCTTCTACTGTTGGAAGAGTCCTCTACTTCATCTTCGAGTTCCTCTGGAGGACTGGAGAGTGAAGTATGCCGTATAATACATGAGCGGAGTCTCTGATGCATTGGCTCTCAGCTACACTTTTTGCAATAGCAGTTGTTATCAATATTTTTAATTGGATTTACCAAACAATCAAAATGAAGGTCTTCCAGGAAGGAAAATATAAAGACCAAACAGCGGTCCATCTCGTCTTTGGCATCTTCGTACTAGTGGTGTTCCTCACCTATATCGGCTTTGTTACTTCCTCTTGAATTTTCGAAGATTCTGCAGACGTGATTTTCAATATTGTAACTCTGGTCTATGCAGGGACTTTCTTTATTATCGGCCTGACTTTTATCATAGTAGGGATAAATTTTTACAGAAAGTACAAGCAGTTTAACATAGATCAAGCCACAAAGATCAGAACCAGGATCATCATGAGCATCAGTGTTATCTCTATCTCTTTCATAACTCGAGGAACTCTGAACATTTTGTATTACATCTTTGATAAAAACGCTAGATTAAGGAGAGAATGGCTCAAGAGCAATAGTCTCTGGTTCCCAATAATCATGACAGCTTATTTTATAGTAGCAGAGATCTTGCCAACGCTATACTTATGACTCGGGCTCAAAGTTGCCTCTAACCAAGCCAGCAAGAAGGAGATTTTTTCTGAAGATATTGATACTAGCCTCTCGATTGATAGATTTACAGTCATGAACATCAACGAGCAAATGCATTCAGAAGGCAGCATTGAAACAGAAACTAGTTTCGGATGGAAAGATAAGACCTAATTTCTTTAAAACCTTTTTTAGATATATTAGCCAGTTGATAAGCAAGTTTTGGGACTTTTGTGCATTTTTAGGCCTAAATTTTAGAAAGGAGACTGTTAAGCTAGCATTCACCACAAAGAATTTTGGTAGTAATACTTCTTTATTTGCATTATAGTTTTGGATATCTCAGATAATAAAAGTTTATTATCAGCGAATCTTTCACCTTTTTTAACAGTCTTTCATTAACAGATTTGAGAGAGCTGTAAAAATTTCCTTAAAGTGTTTTAACATTTCCTTAAGAAAGCCCTTAGAATTTTGATTTATCCATAAGTTTGATGATATTAATCAATAAAAGCGTTGTCTACTTGAAATTATTCTAGTAATTATTTCAGTCTCACAATCAAGTCATTAAATATTCGGAAAATCCTGATCTGTTTTGATATTTTAAAACACTCATCAATAACTTAATCTTCTAACAGATATTTCAATATATCGATGACATCACGGGGTTTTGGGGTTTTGGGGTTTTGGGGTTTTGGGG